TTATTTATTTATTCATTATTTATTGTTACCTAGTAGTTATTGTATTAGTTTTAGAATTGACATGTATTTATGTAATTATTCTATTTTTGTACAATTAGTTAATTATATTAACATCTTAGAATGGTAATAAGAATTATTAACTTTAGAATAGCTAAGATAGAAAAGGTTAATTGATTATCAAATAGGATCCTAAGTACCTCAGTTAGAGTTCTGATCTTCTTACACCCTAATTAAGGTACTCAGTTTTGTTAATCAAGAACACCTTAAAGAAAGCACAGTGCCTTAATTGAGGTTCAGTTATCCCTGAACTCTAAAAGAGGTTGAGTGCTTTAATTAAAGTCCTGTACCTTAGAAAGAAACATGTATATAAAGACAAGAGAAATTCCCTTGTCCAAGTCAGTTTGTAAAAGTTCATACAATTCCTATTTCTTTTGTTTTAATAAAAATAACAATTACTTTATACTTTTGTCTTAAAGTGTTGCTGAAATAACCAAAGGAACCCTGTATACCCAAACTCACCCTTTTCTTATTTTATTTGATTTATTGATTTTGATTGATTTTAGTTTATAGTTATTTTATTTTGATTTGATTATTGATTTAGTTTATTTTATTTGATTGAGTATTTTATTTATTGATTAATTATAGTTATTGATTATTAGTTAGTTAATTATTTAGATAAGTTAACATTATTCTTGTTTAATTGAATTCTTTCTATATTTTATATTTCACCTTTAATATTTATAATCATTCACATAATTTAACCAACACAAGTTCACTACCAAGCTAAACCACTACAAATTAGTAAAGCTTGCTCTCCCAGGTAGTAACATTTGGTGCCGGTTGTGTGGATGATATAAATCCTCCTTTGTTATATGTCCCATTTTCAAATTTTACTTCGTATAAGAGAAGATCACGATTATAATCACCAAAGATATCCCAATACTTTAGGACTTAGACAGTATCTTTCTATACATTCTCCTGATCCATCCTGTACTATTTGTCACCCACCTACTCCTATTAGCACCGTACAATTTTTAAATTTTTGGGATTGGTATTCTGCTGAATTTCCATCCTTTTCCTATACTCTTCGCACTCAAACTAACTTTTCATTGTTAGAAAATCACACCTTTAATGATATTCCAGAATTAGTACTTACAAACCTTTTTTCTAGTATAAGACATACACAATTTCCTGGAAATTATCCTATTCTTATAAATACATTTTTTGAAGCTTATTCAAGAACAAATAGATTTACTGAAGACGCATTTGAAGTATTATATACTGATAGTGAAACTCGCAGTATCTCATCTGTCAATTCTTCTGAAAAAAGTTTTTCTGAAAATTCTGAACATTCTTCTGTTGAAGAAATAAATCCCGTATTAAATAGACAATTACATCAATTACCAATAATGGCACAACAACAACCACAAGGTCTAAATCAAGTAGCTGCCCAAATAGCTGCATTAGTACAACAACTTCAAAATGCTCCTGCGCCAGTAGTTAATGTAGCTGCTGCACAGAGAGAATTAAATTTAGTCTCCTATCCTGATTTTCATGGAGGAGACCAAGATCCAATAACTTGGATTGAAGAATTAGAAAAAGCTTTTGCAGCAAATGAAGTTCAAAACAATAGAAAAATAAATATTGTAACTCCACATCTTAAAGCATCTGCTGCTACATGGTGGACAATTAGAAGAGGTCAACAACCTCTAATTGATAGATGGAATGATCCCAATAATATTCCTCAAAGTTTCCGCCCTACATTTATTGCACATTTTAGAACAGCCACTCTTGAAGCAAAATGGTTTGCTCAACTTACTCAAAGAAAACAATTACCTACAGAAAGTGTTGACACATATCATGCAGAGATGGAAGAATTAATCAGACGTGTAGAAGCAGGTGGACATCAATATCCTGACACATCTAAAGCACAAATGTTTATTAATGGTTTGCGCACTGAACTTTCAGCTGGTGTTGCTGCTTTTACTCCAAATACTTTACAGGCTGCTTATGAAAAAGCAAAAGCTTTAGAAACTATTCATAAACAAAATCCTGTATATGCTGCTTTTCTTGGATATCCTTCTGTTGGTCCATTCTCTACAATGAATGCCAACTTTTCATCTGATAGTCATAACAACAATGACAATACTGGATCCGCCTTAAATAAACTTACTGAAGCTATTACTGCTGTGCTTGACCATGTGAAAAGAGATACTCCTCGAACATCTTATAATAATAATAATAATAATTCCAATAGAACAAAACCTACTTGCTATAACTGTGGTACTGTAGGACATATCAGTCGCGAATGTACAAGACCGCGAAACTACCAACGGAATAATAATTCTGAAAACTTTGGAAATAATACTTCTAGAAGTAATTATCAAAGAAACAATAATCCCTCAGCACCCCCATTGTCCTCTAATAATGTTCCGGGGGATAATTCTAATAATCAACAAGCAGAAGCCATGCAAACTTTATTGAATATGCTTGGTTCCGCGAATATTAATAACAATGGAAATAATGAATCTCCGCGAAATAATAATAATGACGAAGGAAGACAATCTTATTTTAATGTTTATGATGACCAACCTTTTTATCCAGCAGAAAGAACAAATCGTCCTAACAGAACTGATCCTATAATAACAAGACAAAAGAAAAAGACAACAGAAAATAAAGAAAATGAGATTAAAGAAGTGGAACCTGCAACAATTGTTGACTTTGAAGAAAATCCCTATCAACCTGAAACTGTAGATGTAGAAATGCCTAATGAAACAAATGAACCAAAAGAAGTCTTAGAAAAGAAACCAAATTCTACAAAGAAAAGACAAAAAGGAAATCTTCCAAGAAGAAAACAATTTGAAGAACAACTTCCCCAAATATCTTCGCTAGTAACACCTTACTCCATAGTAGCAGATTTACAAAATAAACAAGCAAATATTACTTATGGTCAACTTCTTTTAGCTGCACCTAATATGAGACAAGATCTCGCGAAAGGTTTACAGAAAAAGAAAATGCCTGTTAAAAGAAAATTTAAATCTAATCTTGGCGTACAACCTTCCCATCGCGCAACAGCATTGTATTGCAACGCCAATATCATGGGAAATAATATTCCACTTATAGTTGATAGTGGATCCTCTGGTAGTGTAGTGTCATCCCATCTTCTTAAAAAATTAGGTATTCAAATTGACCGCCCTTCCTCTATCAACATGATAAATGTTCATGGCGAAAGTAAAAGAGCTTTAGGAGAAATTTCTGATTTCCCTTTTGTCGTAGGAGGAGTAAAGATCCCTATAGATGTTGTAGTTACTGATGCCTATTCTTACCAAGCTATTGTTGGCAATGACTGGTTATCTAAAGTCAATGCTAAAATAGATTGGAGTTTATCAATAATGATTATTCAATGGAATGAAAAGAAAATTAAAGTTCCAGTTGAATTCAAAAAGTTAAACTCCCTCCTTGTGGAAAAAGAAGAACAGGAAGATGAAGACTCTGAAGAAAGTGAAGAAGATGAATTTGAAGATGAAGAATTAGAAGAACAACTATATGCTCACTCTGAAATTGAAAATGGACAAAGAGATGAAGAAAAATATATAAAAATTGGAGAAAACAAAGAAGAAATAAAATTTAAAGAAAACAAAGTAACAATTTTAAAGGAAGAAGATGAACTTAAAGAAAGTGTAAGCATAAACCCTAAAGAAAATGAAATCCTTGATAGTGATGAAATTATGGATGTTAATAACTTTTACCTTGAAAAAAATTCCTTCCGTGAAATAACAAACAATGCCTCTCATGGCTATGGTAACACCAATTTCGAAATTGCTGAAATGATCATCAAAGAGAATAACAATTTACTTGAAGGCTTTGATTTGGACCTTTCCCCCAAGGAAAAGACTCCCCAGAGTTCAGAAACTTGCAAAGCTTCCCTTGATATACCTTTACCAAGAAACCTTTCAAAAGTTGTTGAAACCGCGAGGATACTAAAGGAAGATAACTCTATTTTCGCGAGAAACGATGTTGATCATGCCGATCATGCCGATCACGAGACGATCAACTTAGTATATGCATGTTATGATGATTATTTTGAGTCTGATGAATTTGATAGTGAAACTGAAGATAATGATGAAAGATATAATAATGAAGATTCTGCAGAAGAATCCAACCTATCCAAAGAAGAAAACTTTATGACCAACTCCAGATACTTTGAAGATAATGTTCCACATGAAGAAACAATTAGAGAAGATGACTTCCCTCCAACTTTTGAATGGCCAAAAGAATTTGAGTTGCAAGATCTAAATGGCAAAGAAACAATAACAGATGATAACTTCTATCTTGGTGAAACATCTTATAATATGCAAAGTTTAAATGTAGGAGACTTAAGATGGGATCAAGAATATGAACTTGACAGTCTCTTAATAGAAAATAAAGAATTATTTTCCTGGAATACTAAAGACTTAGGAAAAACTGACATAACTCAACATGAAATTTACACTGGAGATGCCATACCAATTAAACAAAGACCTTACAGACATTCTCCCAAAGAAAGAAAATTCCTAAAAGAAGAAATAGACAATATGCTAGAAGAGGGTATTATCTCTCCCTCCTCAAGTCCTTGGAGCTCTCCTGTGGTCTTAGTCAAACAAAAAGACAAAACACGATTTTGTATTGACTACAGAAAGTTAAATAATGTGACCAAGAAAGACAATTATCCTCTACCAAGAATAGATGATCTCTTTGACATGTTAGGAACCTCTTCCTGGTATACTTCTCTTGATCTAGCAAGTGGTTACTGGCAGGTCAAGATGCATCCAAAAGATAAGGAGAAAACTGCTTTCATTACACAATATGGAACTTTTGAATTTAATGTCATGCCCTTTGGACTGACAAATGCTCCTTCTACCTTTCAAAGATTAATGGATAACATATTTAAAGATGTAATTGGAAAATATGTTGTAGTATATTTGGATGACTTAAATATTTACTCCTCCAGCTTTGAAGAACATCTTGAACATCTAAAAGAAGTCTTTAGAAGATTAAAATTGGCAGGCCTGAAACTAAAACCTCAGAAGTGCTACTTTGCTAACAATGAATTAAAATTTCTTGGCTATGTTATTAGTTCTGAAGGAATCTCTACCAATCCAGATAAAGTAAAAGCTGTTCAAAATTTTCCTGTTCCTAAAAATCTGAGACAACTGAGAGGATTTTTGGGCCTTGCTTCCTACTACAGAAGATTTGTCCCTGGATTCTCCAAAATGGCTTCTCCTTTAAACAGACTATTAAAGAAAGAAGTTAGATATGAATGGACATCTGTTCAACAAAATGCTTTTGAATCACTTAAAGAAAAACTTATCACTGCTCCTATCTTAGCTTATCCTGATAACACTAAAGAATTCATACTTTTCACTGATGCATCTGATATTGCCCTAGGTGCAATCTTGTCTCAAAAAGATGATAAGGGACATGAAAAAGTAATTGCTTATGCTAGCAAAAGCCTAACTACAGCTGAGAAAAATTATTCTACCACTGAAAAAGAATGTTTAGCTGTGGTGTGGGCAGTTCAACATTATAGACAGTATTTACATGGAGTACATTTTTTGTTAATTACAGACCACTCTGCTTTAAGATCACTCTTCCATCACAAACTTCCTCAGACAAGACTAGCAAGATGGATTCTTATTTTACAAGAATACACCTTTACTGTATTACACAAAGCTGGCAAAAGACATACAAATGTAGACTCACTCTCCAGAATCCAAACACCCTCATATTAAAAACAAATTAATAACTCTACCACTTTATTATCAAGTAATTTCAAATTATTAAAACTTCTTATTTTAAAAACCATTTAAAAACATCAAAACATATCAACAATTATTTAACAACTTAAAAAGAATCAAGAAATTTATTTATTACAAATTAACTACAGAAAATAATTCTTCTAACAAATAAAACTTGCAAAATACAACATCAAAAAAAAAAAAAAAAAAACCAATTTTTATTAGAAATCACATATTACAACAAATTAAAAACTTTCTCACAAAAGTTAGTTACAAAAAATTGTAATAGTATTATATTCAGAAGAAATTTTAGCAAAATCGCCGAAACACTTTTTTTTTACAAATTATTTCGTAGATCATAATTATTAAAATTGAACGAAGAATAAAAACTTTTTTTTATTTCCTTCCTCCTTTTATTATAAAAACTTGATTATTTTCTTCATAATACCCTTATACACTTTCTATTTTACCTAAAAGAGGTCTTAAAATAATTATTTGTTATACATTTTTTTTGTTATCTTTTCTTTTCCTTTTTTTTTTGTGCATTTTTAGTTATTAAATAAAATTCGCAGATCCGCTCAAATTTTCGTATCACCGTTTCGCGAATTAATTTTATTCAAAATTAATAATTAGATTATTAATTTCTTTAGTTATTTTTTTTTATCACTTTTTTTTTACTTAAATTATTTTTAATTATTTTCATAATTGTTCTTTTATTTATTTATTTAATTTTTTTGACATATCTCCCAAAATCATCTTTAGCCTAATTGGTAAAACAATCTTTGTATTTCCTTATTGATAGACAAAATGGATCTAATAACGTACGACCTTTACACTAAATTTCTTGATGGAGCCCTAAGGATGACCGAAACCTCCCCAAAACAGCTAAAAGACCTTAAACACAAAACTCGACATTTTATAACTCAAGAAGGACTTTTGTATAAGGTTAATAAAAGACAACCTAACAATCCTCTAAGAGTCCTGACACCTCAAGAAGTTACTGCTGTGTTATATAGCCTTCATAATGATCCTACTTCTGGACATTTTGGATTTCAATCCACTTATCATCGGATAGCAATAAGATACTATTGGCCACAAATGGGAAATGATATAAAAGATTATATTAAAAATTGTATCATTTGCCAAAGAAGGGGAAAACCAAAAACTCGCGAACCACTACATCCTATAAAAATTGGCAAACCATTTCAACGTATAGGCATGGATATTGTAGGACCACTTCCTATAACTTCAAAAGGAAATAGATATATAATTGTAGCCACTGATTATTTAACTAAATGGCCTGAAGCTAGAGCAATTGAAAAAGCCACAGCTGCAAATGTAGCTGATTTCTTTATTGAAGATATAGTGCATAGACATAGTTGCCCTCAAGAATTGGTCACTGACCAAGGAATTCACTTCAATAATCATTTATTGAAAACCATATGTCAACAACTAGGAACTAAACACATAATGACTTCTGCTTATCACCCTCAAGCTAATGGTCTAGTTGAAAGATATAATCGTACTCTTTGTGAAGTTTTAGCCAAATGTGTCTCCCAATCTTCCAAAGACTGGGACTCCTTTATTACCCCAGCACTTTTTGCATATAGAACGACTAAACATAGTACAACACATCATGAACCCTTCTTTTTAGTTTATGGAAGAAAATCAGTACTTCCAATAGAATTAAATATTGTCACCTACCCTTTTGAGATATTAAATGAATCACAACATGAAGCTAGTGTATTCAGAAGAATTGAATCAATAATTGGAAATCTTGCTGAGCAAAGAATACAAACAGTAGCAAGGGTAACAAAATCTCAAATTTATCAAAAGGAGAGACATGATAAAAAGTTCAAAATAGAAAGTTATGAGATTGGAGATAAAGTTTTACTATTCCATTCTCAGTTAGATAAATCTTTGTCTGGTAAATTAGAAGAAAAATGGTTGGGACCATATTACATCCATAACACAATGGGAAATGGTACTTATAAATTAAGAACATTAGAAGGCAAGGTTCTAAAAAGAAGTGCTCATGGCAATCGCCTAAAATTTTATCATGAACAACCAAGTGAATTAATAAAAATAGTTTAACCCTAAAAACATATTATTTATTCAGTATAGTTTCTTTTTCTTCTCTTATTTTTTTATTTTAATTTTCATTCTAAATACCTTTTTATTTCGCCTATCCTTACACAAACTCCTCTTTTTAATTAATTTTGAAAATCTGTACAAACAACATTCTAATCTTTATGAAATCTTCACCCTCTGTGATACCTAAAACAATGATTATTCTCAATTTGGTCACTGAAGTTCTGTATGTACAAATTGGTGTTCATAATAAGAATTAATATTTATAGAACTTTTAATTTTCAATTTTTTTTCTCTTCCTTAAATTATTATTTATTTGGAATTAACATCTACTTCTCAATAATTTCACCTTCTATTATTGTTAATTTTCCTTCTCTCTTTATCTTTTTATTATATTTACTTATAATGAATGTTGAAAAGATCATTCTTGAGAACATGTCAATTAAAGAAATTGCTGATGTTCTTCAACAAAAGCTTAGTCAAGAAGAAGATAAAAGACTTGTTATAACTACAAGTGAAAAAGTAATTATTGAGGAAAACAAAAAAAAAAATAATCAACTTACTTTCATAATCACCAGAGCTTAAAGAATAGGAGAAAAATTACAATTATATCTGGAAGACCTCCAAAGAAATTCTTCAATTATCCACTCCTTTCCAGAAATTTATGGAGACACTTGGGAATCAAAAGTTGCTAGAATTTGCTCCATAATCAAACAAGAAAGAATACCTAATCTGAAATTACAAAGGTTTTATCAGTTGGGAACTTTATTGAATGAAAAGAGCTGGACAAAAAGTGCAAGAACAGAAGTAATGAAACACTTCTCCACTCATAAATATAGAGAAGTTTGGAAGTCTGCATATCGTACTTATCAAATATATTTTGCTAGGGGATCACAAAACATATTTGAAGCTCAGAAAATTTCTCCATTTGTCTTATTTAAGATGTATGATAATGATTTTAAAATCTTACTCAAAGAGGCAGAAGTATTAGGCCTTCAAGAGCTTTATGAAGTCTCGCAGGAGCTCAACTGTTAAGAAGGGGAAAATGTTAGAAGTTTTTTTTTTAATTATTTATTATTGATTTTTTTTTAAGTCTTTCTTATCATATTTTATTATTTATTGTTATTTATTTATTCATTATTTATTGTTACCTAGTAGTTATTGTATTAGTTTTAG